CTCGGAAGGATGGAAGGCTGAGTCAACCCTGAGCCGGTGAGATTTGAACCGCTGACCTGCTGATCTAGCAGTAGCCTGCAGTGCTGCATTTAACCACTGCGCCACCTTGGCTCTTAAAAGACAAGTAGTGGTATAACAGGTAAAATAGGGAATGAGGCAGATTCTAGAAGTTCCCCCAGGCTCTTTGGAGACTCCACGTTTAAGCCATGCAATTTGAAAGAGGAATAGATATATTCATGGCCAGGGTTTGTGCCTCACAGCCTTCCCTAACTTTCCTCCTTCCAGACATGCTCAGATTGCAGCTCAGGTTGCTGGGAATTTTAGAAGTTATACTTTCCATTTAGCTAGACAGTTTAAACAAGTTTCAAATCCAAGGTTGAACGATATTGCCAAACCCTTTCTGTTCTTTACAAATGAGAGCTATTACAATATAGGACCTATTTGTTAGAGAACTATTCGTGAGAACTGTTACAGTATAGGACTCAAATAAAGTATGGTGCTATTACATTTTTAAAATGTATTTTATTAAATGTCCTTTATATTTTATTTTCTCTAGCTGGTCCTCATCTCTCTCCAAACACCGAAGTATGATTAAGCTAAGATCAGCTAAGACTACCCATCTAATTATTTAAAACAGATATTTAGACCAGGGGCTGTTGGCTATCTATGTGTTGTAAAAATGCTTCTTTCTGTCCAACGGGCTTTAGGCTTGCCCTGGTTTTTATTTTAATGTTTCCCTCATTTATAAATACACACATACATACATACTGTATATTCATACATATACAGAGTTTTGCCCCATTTTATGACCTTTCTTGCCACAGTTGTTAAGTGAATCATTGCAGTTGTTAAGTTAGTAACACGGTTGTTAAATGAATCTGCCTTCCCCATTAACTTTGCTTGTCAGAAGGTTGCAACAGTTCATCACATGACACTGCAACCTTCATAAAAACGAATCAATTGCCAAGCATCTGAATTTTGATCACATGATCTTGGGGATGCTGGAATGGTGTTAAGTGCGAAAAATGTTCATATGTCGTTTTTTCAGAGCCATTGTAACTTCACTAGTTGACCTGTTGTAAGTCAAGGATTACTTGTAGTACATACTGTATATGGCAGAATCCAAAGTAGTGGGCAGGGATTTCTAAGGGGAGGGGGGGTTTGATTTGGAAAGCCATGGTGGTGCAGTGGTTAGAATGCAGTACTACAAGCTACTTCTGCAGCCTGCTGGCTGCCTGCAATTTGGCAGTTCGAATCTCACTAGGCTCAAGGTTGACTCAGCCTTCCATNGCATGACTAAACACCGAAGGCACACAGAACGCTGTTACCTTCCCACTAAAGGTGGTTCCTATTTTTCTACTTGCATTTTTACATACTTTCGAACTGCTAGGTTAGCAGAAGCTGGGACAAGCAATGGGAGCTCATTCCGTTATGTGACACTAGGGATTCGAACCGCTGAACTGTCGACCTTTCTGATTGACAAGCTCAGCAACTTAGCCACTGAGCCACCCCATGTCCTGGTTCTATATATATCCTCATACTATTTGGGATTCTTATTTGAGAAGCCAATTTTTCCAGGCTGCATAATTGTCTGGAGAGGTCCTCCTCTTGATCTTATCAGCACTGAAGGAATATTTGAGGAAACATGAGAAAAAAGGTCCAGTGACTTTTTGCAGTTTGGAGCTAACAGCCAAGGGGATTCAAACTATTTCCTTCTCTGCTATCATTCCTGGAAGGCAAAATGTTTTTATTTAGTCTGCCCTGCAATAGTTGACTGTTGAGTCAAGTCTGCTCTATTAATATATGATGTTTATTAAGCTCTTTTTTGAATTTGATTTTAATCTCATCAGTTGTAAGTTACTCTGAATTATAGGTTGTTTTTTTAAAACTCTAACTAAATAAGCCGGGAAGCAACAGTCAAGGATTTTGGCCCTGTTTTGGTGACTCCGCAGTGCAAACACCTAATGAATCTTGTATGTTCATGCTAATATTGTGGTCCTCAGACTCATCCAGCACTAATTCAGATACTAGTCAATTTATTACTGCACTGCTTACATTAAGCAACAACATATTGCAATACTTTATGTTGGTGTCACAGATTTAAATAAAATCAAATACTGATGGAGAAAACAAGAAAGGAAAGAGTCAATATGTTTCGGCTGACTAACCTTTGGGAATGTGCAGCATATAAACGAAGTAAGTGATTTTTCTACTTTGGAATCGCTTTCACTATCTTCCCAGGGTTGAAAAGGGGTTGAAAACTATCTATTGTAATAGTGCAATAATGCAATATTTCTTTTACTAATAAGACCTCTAGTGCTCATTTAGAACAAAGGTTAATAGGCCAAGAAAAGGAATGGGAAATTGTAATAGCTCTGAATTTTCCTCCTGCAAACCGCTGGTTTTAGATTTACTGAAATCCTATCGACATTTATGAGAGCTATATGTGTTTATAGTCTACAATTTTTTCAAGAACAACATGTAATTTACAGACTGAAGGAATGTTTTCATGAAGGATGTCCTTCAAAGGAGATATTCCAGAAGTGAAAAGATGGGTGCATAAGTGAAAGTTGACTGCTGAATGGAGAAATCAATAAGGAATAAGAGTTCCTTCAATAATGTTTCAGAACTGGAGAGTTTATTTTCTCACTTTAAAGTATCCATTTTTTTCCAGAGGAAAAACCCTTCCAGGTAACTGGAAAACAGGTTATTCGCACACGTGATGGATGTAGTGATGTGCCTGACTATCTTGTTTGCTGTAAATAAAAAAGTAAAATATATTTATTTATATAAAACTACAAGTTTGTGTCAGTGTCTCTGACTCCCTTTGGACACTGGCTGCGCAATTCCCTGATGTAATGTTGTCCTATTTCTGAAAACATGAATGCTGTCCTATTTCATGAGCAAATTTACATCCAATTCTGCAGTTGTTTGTACATATATGGAAAGAAAACTGTTAGTTGTAGTATAGTGACAAAGAAAATTGATGTTGGGAAATACCCAGCCAGGAAGGGAGGAAGCCTCAAGCAAGGAATTAGCCTTGAATCGTACAGCTGCAAGAGATTTAGAAGTAAGTGTCCCCCCCCCCCCGCACCAAGCTTCATGGAGTATTATCTATCTGTTTCCAAGAAAAAGCAAGCAGTCTGGGAAGATTCCTGTATTATAGGAAGACTATAATAAAGTAGTTGGCTTCACTTCAACGGATGAGGATCTTATGGCTTGTGCCTGGCAATTGTTATACAGATTATAAGGTAGAACTGATATTGGCGATATACCCAACCCACACATAAAGCTTTTTAGTTAACTTTTCCCATAATTTTACTCTAACCTATGACATTGTTCTGATGATAAAATGAAGGGGTGAGGTAGAGAGAAAACATATACAATGCAAAAAAAACCTCTCTGAAGGAAAAGTGGAATTGTAAATGTAGATAATAAATAAATGGGACTGCAGACAATATGCATATGGAAGAATTTAGATCATGGTCAAAGTTGTTTAATCATAACTGCTATACGATTATAAGGATCTATTTGCAGAAATGTATGAGACTTTGACTTTTCAGTAAACTGATATAAATTTGAGATATTCCCAGTTACTATCACATAGGACTAGTAGAGGTAGAAGTCCTATATAACTAAGTTTTTTGTCAAAATGATGATAGATAGATAAATAGATAGATAGACAGACAGACAGACAGACAGAAAAATTAAAATATGGATGGGATGCAATGTAAGTTAGGATAGTGATATTTAAGGTGATTTTTGAAGGTACATTGCAAACATAACAACATTGTCTTTGGATTTCTCCAGACCTGTTCCATGAAATCCTCCACAGACATAGAGTTTTCCTTCCACAGCACCAGCACAGGTAGAGTTGGTTCTTAGGGAAAGAAGAGGGTAAGGCATAGGTGGTCCTTCTCGCCAGTAGTTCCTATCAGTGTTATAGATCTCCACGACATCAAGGCATTGCCGTGCTTGCCCTCTGTCACGATCAAGGCAGCCAATTCCACCTGCAGAGGGAAAGAGAGATTCCAAAGAAAATAAAAATAGCTCATCAGAATGAGTGTTCTCACTTTCTGGGGGCTAAGTTATCATTTTCTCTCCAACTTCAATGTTTTTTTGCTCTTACAAAAAGAAATAATCCAACATTCTATGAGGAAGGAATAATCGTGCATATTGGGGGGAGGGGGGGAATCAGCCGCGCGAGTGATTGTGGGTGCACCTCGGTTCGCCCACATAACACCTATCCTCCGTGAGCTGCGCTGGCTACCTGTTGATCTCCGGATGCGCTTCAAGGTGCTACTTACCACCTTTAAAGCCCTCCATGGTAGTGGATCTGGGTACTTGAGAGACCGCCTCCTGCCAATTACCTCCCTGCGACCTATTAGGTCACACAGATTGGGCCTCCTCCGAGTTCCATCTGCCAGTCAGTGTCGACTGGCAACTACGCGGAGGAGAGCCTTTTCAGTAGTAGCTCCGACCCTTTGGAACGATCTCCCCGTGGAGATTCGTACCCTCACCACCCTCCAGACCTTCCGCACAGCCCTCAAGATCTGGCTATCCCGTCAGGCCTGGGGTTAAAGATTATAGTTTGTCCCCACCCGAATGATGAATGAATGTTGCTTTTATTTTAATTATATGTTATTTATATATGTCATTGTGTGTCTTCCCACCCTATCTGTTGTAAGCCGCCCTGAGTCCCCCCAGGGAAAAGGGCGGCCTATAAATAAATTTACCATACCATACCATACCCTTCCCCTTAGAAAAACATGCTAAATTTGTACTCCAAAGCAGAAGACTCTCTAAAGTATTCAAGATGAATAAGTAAATAAACGAGAATCACAAAATGATGGAAAATAAAATGGGGAAAAATGAGAATGTTCTTTGAATATTTAATTTTTGGGAAATGCAGACTCTAAGGAATGCATTTATCAGCATCGCATTCCTCCTCATTGTCATATAAAAACAATGAATGTGTTATCTCTCTCATTTTCACAGATACAGAATAATGTGGTTTTAGCTTGTAAAATATGATATCTGCAGAACCGAAGTGAATTGGAGGATGTGACTCTCATGCCATGGAAAAAAAATAAAAACACATTTGCTACACACACACACACACACAATTTGTTTTTCAAGATTGTTAATTAAGCATAAGAACAAAAGAACTCACTGCTTCCCTGTCAGAAACTTCCTAAAATCCTTTGTCAACTGCAGCTAAAACAACAACTATCTTTAGAAAACAACAGAAAGAAATATTTTTTTAGGGTGTACTTAAAACATTCATCCAAACTGTTCAAATGACAATTCAGAACTGCCTTCAAGGACAAAAAGGGGAAAGAACCTTAATGGTTATACATTAGTAAACTCTCCTAGCATCAATAGAGGGACCTAGATGGTTTAGGTCATATACATGGATCATACATGATTTCCCACAATTCTATGGAAGAATTTCATAGGATTATATGCTTTTAAATCACATCCAAGAATGAATACAAAAATTTTTGTATTTTTCTTAAGAAAAGTTGCACATAACCCTTCCCAGAATATCCTAGTTTTAGACAGAGAGAGTTAATTTGGGGGAATAAATGGGCATATATACTATTCGGTTTTTTACACGGCCAGCATTTCAATTATTAGGAAATGTTATTAATGTTTGCACCGCCTACAAACAAGTAATTGTGACCTGCAACTTATCACTTAGGGGAACAAACCATTCCTTGTCGCATACCTAAATTCCACCTTGCACCCCCTGGGGGTTCAGGTTGGGAACTCCTGGCCTAGAAGAAAGTACAGGTGCACAGATTCATTGTAATGGATGAGCTAACTAATGACTTCTTATTGGAAAGAGCAGAACTTGGAAAGAATCTTGAGATTAAAACAATATCCTTGAAAAAGCGGTGCATGTATAGGAAAATCCTCAGCAATAATAGTTTAAACTAGCTTATGAAATCCTCTTTTCATATTTGCTGCTGGGGCACAGAATTCACCTCCCATATCAAAAGACACACAGTTTTGAGTTAGGATGGAAGGAAATAATAACATATCTTTAGTGGAATATTTGCACAAAAATGCATTTATGTGAAATGGGAATTATTTGTGTGAACATCTGATCTGCTAACAAAATGCTTGATGAAACATTATTTGGACTTCGAATATAATACTTCTCCATCTATAGAATTCTCATTTTGATGGAAGCCATGCGTAAAACTTGCTACTTGGTTACCCAGAAATGCACAAAAAATGAAATTTCTGATAAATCCTTTGCAATTGTTTATTCAATGAACTAAGGATAAATTTTTACGTACTGTAACCAGAACCAGCAGCAAAACTTTTAACTAATTCTGTTACCTTGGGCCAATCTTAGGTCCTTTAAAATAATTCACCACAATTATTTGATCTTTCAAATAATTCACCAGAAGTGATGCTCATAGATTATAATGGTATTCAATTTTGGTTGTGTACAGTATAGGAATCTAAATGTTATAAATACCGTGCAGTTGGGTGATATTTTAATTCATGTAGTTAATTATCATAGCTATTGTCACAAAATGGCAGCTGTATTAGATATGGAGAGTTATGGAAAAATAATTGGCTAGATTGTTCCTGCTCATCCATTTTAAGCCTCCTACCCTCCATATCCCCCTACCATCCCAATTATTTTTAGTTTGGTTTTTTAGGCAGTTGGACAGACATCTAAAGAAAACTTTGTGTAGTATAGTCCTTCACCAATTTTGGATCCCGCTGCTATTTTTTAATAGGTTTGGGTTTTTTGTATTAAAATATTTTAAATGTTTATTAATTAAAATAGTTTTCTTTAGCAATAGCAGTAGACTTATATACCGCTTCATAGGCCTTTCAGGCCTCTCTAAGCGGTTTACAGAGAGTCAGCATATTGCCCCCAACAATCTGGGTCCTCATTTTACCCACCTCGGAAGGATGGAAGGCTGAGTCAACCCTG